AGGGGAAGCTTCTTAACACTCGGCGGGGGCCTGGCGGGAGCTGCGCGGGGAGGGGTGTAAGTAACCGTGCCAGGAACGCGCCCCAGGGAGGTCAGGGCTGCAGGGCCCGGGAAACCCCCTGACCAAGGGGAGCCTCCTGCAGTGTTGACAAGCTCTCCTCAGTTTTAACGTCTCAGGCTCTGAGGAGAATTTGCTTTCCTCCAAAAAGTTTTCTAGCCCCTGCGGTTTCTAAGAAAAGCTTGCAGGGTAACTCTGGTTGTCAGTCCTCCAGGAATTTAAAAAAAAAAAAAAACTTTCTTCATGTCACCTCCAGGAATATCTACAGCCTACTTTGGCAACTCTAATGAAACAGCTGTACCCTATACTCTTTGAGCCTAGAAGGCAAAGAGGAAGCACCCCAACTTTATTTGTAAAGATCTCGTGGTGTTTTAGTCACTTATGGTTACCGAAGATTGCGTTTGCCAACACTTTGTCACAGTTATTCTTAGTAAAAGTCATGTACAACATATGGACAATAAATAAAAATGTATGAAAGTTCGTGTGACCTTTCCTTGAGATTGTGACAAAATGGGGAATGAGGGGTATACTGCACTCACTGCTGTTGCAGTTACAAGGGGTCCCCCACCACAGCACATGCTAGTTGGGAACTACAGGTGACCCCTGGGGCGAGAGCTCCAACCTCACCATACAGGGGCTGAAGAGGAAATTGTCACAGAGGTCCCTGGAAGTCACGGATTTCATGCCATAATTTTAAGCTTACTTATGGGGGGTGAAAATTTGTCATACACTCCCTTGCAGGGCCTGATTCAAAGAATGCTGAAATCAAGAGAAACACTGATTTATGGGGGCTTTTAATCAGTCCCCAAGCAGGTTTACAATATCCTTTAAGACCTGCCTTTCTCAGGGTCAATCAGTGGTGAGATATGCAGTTAGGGAAAGTTGTCATCCACTTTATTTTAAAAATTATAGGCATAAATACAAGTCTGTTGTGTCCTCTTCCAATCATTTATCACTGGTCTCAAGCCCTGCTCCTGCAAATATTTACATTAGTATCTTTACATGTAGTTAAGCTCAATGGTGTGTGCTTAAGTGTGTGCAGGCTCAGGGTCCCTTATTTGTGAACTCTTGAGCTCAGGGACCATGTTTACATCTCATGTGTTTGGACCTCTAGTGAGATAAATGGTATACAATCTTGGCTGAGGCATCTCTCCTATGGAAATACATCATCAAATAAGAATAAAAATGGGAAGTGTCTCATTGGATTTCACAGGGCCTTTACCAGACCTGAATCCAGCAAAGACCTAAGCACACATTTGTAAGCAGCTTCAGAGGGGTAGCCGAATTAGTCTGTACAGTATAAACTTAAAAACAACCAATTGTCTGATAGCACTTTAAAGACTAACAAAACATGTAGATGGTATCATGAGCTTTCATGGGCCCACTTCTTCAGATGACGGGAGTGTTGGATGTCCAGAACCAAAGATAAATAGGGAAGGGGAGGGGAAAGAGGCACTGGATAAATATCAAAGGGAAAGCCAAGCTAGTATGTAACAGGCAAAACTGAGAGTCTGTGAGTACCTAAAGACTGGATAGTTAAAAGGAGATAAGAGCCATTAGTTAGCAATTAGAAAGGAAGAGTACTAACACCAGATTCTACACAGACAAAGCACCATTGGAACCTTCATTGTTTGTTTGGTTGATAATATCCCAGCCATCCGGTATCTCAATTCAGACCATTGGCATGAGAATTAAACTTGTGAAGTGAATTAATTGTAGTTCCAACCCTTCCCTGTGTATTTGGCTTCTGGAATTGGTCTGTAACAAAACAGCAACTTGAAGATCTCTTAATGAGTGACCAGGCAGATTGAAGTGTTCACCAACAGGTTTCTGTATGTTTCATTTACTGATATCTGATTTGTGTCCATTGATTCTTTCCCATACGGACTGTCCAGTTTGTCCAGTATATATTGCAGTGGGGCTTTCCTGGCATAGATAACATTACTGGATGTACAGTTAAACAGGCCTCTGATTTGGTGGCATATGTGGTTGGCTCCAGTGATGAATTCACTTGTATAGATATGTGGGCAGAGTTGGCACCAGGGTTGATTGCACAGCTGAATTCCTGGATGCTTATGATATAGCTGTGTAGCACGGTTACCGGAAAGAATTTGTTTGGGAGGTTCTCTGTGAGTGAGATAGGCCTTTCCCCCAAGGTCTCAGAGCGAGGGATCATTTTCCAAGATAGGTTGTAGACCTGCCAAAGGTCCTGCCTGCTCTGCTCTGGCAGCAGCCTTTTGGGTGACCTGTTCCTTGGTCCAAGGAGCTGCTTTGGCAGGTGAGGCCGAGGGCATGGCAACTCATGCTGGGTACGGAGGAAGGACCCGGCCAGGTGTGGCCCCTGTTGAAAATGCAGCAAAGGAGCCAGGGGAATGCCATACCACAGGTCTCCCCAAGAAAGTGTCTCTGGCATGCGCCGGTGGCCCAGGCCCAGGTGCACTCCCTCAGCCTGCCACAAGCTGGTCTTGGCCATACTGCACCCCCAGACCTTTGGGGACAGCTTGGTTACACTGCATCCCAGTTATTTTCTCAGCTCTTTGGAGCAGCTGCTCTGTACTCTGGGCTCCCTGGGCAAAGCACAAGTGCAGCTTGACAAACTCTCTCACCGCCCTGTTTCCCCCACCCCCATGAGGTTGAAGCATCAGCACTGGCTTCCTGAGAGGGAAGTGGAAGGAGAGAAAACCCTGAGGCTCCCCGCTGTGTGAACAGCAGTATAAGGATGCACTTCAAGGAGGCTTTTCCTGCTGCTCAGCAGGGAATTGAGTGAGGGGGTCACTGGTGCAAGGTCTCTGTGGAGGTGGTGAGTGACAGGGCTTGGGGGGGTCAGGGGTCTCAGATGGGGGAGGGGAGCAAATCATTTTTGTCCATTATGAATATAGTACAGAAATGTAATCAGTGAAACAGTCAACTGAAAGCCTGCATTTTTATTCTTTAAAGTGTTCACTAGTGAGCTGCTCCCGTGTTCACTATATTCACTCACCCCCCTCTCTGTCCACTTCTGCATGAGAACTTGATGACGTTCAGAGAGCGGGGGAGTGTGATGTCATTCTGTTGCCTAGCAGGAAATTGTTTCTTATATATGTACAAAGGTAACATCTGCTGCTGCTATGGGGGGGGGGAGGGGCACACCCTCAATAGGAGGGTAAAGCATGTGAGTACCATCTTAGGGAAAGCTAAGTGGAAAGAGCATTTTAAAATGGCACAACCCCCCGCCCCACACACACACCCTCCTCTCCCCCCACACACAGTGTTTAAGTCCTTTTGATAAAAACTTCATTTGAACACACTGAGTTTTACAAGATTAATTTACATTCAATAGCAAAAAGTATCAGTGACTATCGAGGGCTATTGCTTTTAGCTTACAACAACTTTAGTCATAAAACTCTGAATTTTGGAACTACAAGTCCCCCCGCCCCACACACACACCCTCCTCTCCCCCCACACACAGTGTTTAAGTCCTTTTGATAAAAACTTCATTTGAACACACTGAGTTTTACAAGATTAATTTACATTCAATAGCAAAAAGTATCAGTGACTATCGAGGGCTATTGCTTTTAGCTTACAACAACTTTAGTCATAAAACTCTGAATTTTGGAACTACAAGTTCTTTCTGCAGGAGTGTAATGAAGAAAGTAAAGCCTCTCCATAAAATTGCAACCAGAACTCCACTATGAAAGATAGATTTTGATTTTTAAAAAATATTTTATTCTGACAACTAGAATGTCCCCTGAAAAATAAGTGATTACCTTGGGAATATTTTAAAAGTCTTTCCCCCCTTTGAAATGTTTGCACCATTTACTATTCAGGACTTCTATAACAGAGAACAAAATACCATCTGGTTAAATCACCACCATTTCCTGTAGCAATCCAGGCTCTCTTTTCAGTTTCTTATCCACATACCGGAAGTCTAACTGCTTACACCTTGGGAAAAAATCTAATGAGATCCCATCCCAACACAATATGGGCTTGGTACATGTCAAAATCATCCTCCCAATTCTGATTTTCCCTTAATTATTTAATGAATTAGTCAACAATCATGATTTCTTCCTTTACCCCTCTACCAAGGAACAAAAAAAGAAAGCTTTACAGGTTTCACTGAGACAGCTCCATGACAGTCAAGTTTATTTGAAAGGATTCTTAAAAGCAGATACTCTGAACATGCTTCATCAGCCCAAGTTCAGAAAACAATTGTTTGGTTTCCAAATGATGTGTGCATGTTACAAATTGTACATTTTTAATACCCTCATTTATACCACATGACGTGAGCATAAAATACAATGATTCTAATATTACTCAGTATGCCAATTTATTGCTACAACTCTCAACTAACATAGGGCACACCTGGAAATAGCTCCAAGACAGTGACTGCAAATTAGTGTTCCTGGCACTCCACAATGTCAGTAGTTTTCTGACAATCAGTTCTTAGATATAAGAGGCCATTTTATTTTGTAAGCAAGTCCATTTTAAAAAAATGGGCTTGACAGGAAGTATTAAAGTTTTTGGACTATTCACTGTGATATTTTTATATTGGCTCATAGGAAATACATTTGTTACCTTTGTTTAGCTTTTACACCTCTAAAAATACCCATGTGTGAGCAAATATATTTTACATCTAAATCAAAGATATTATAAATTATGCAACAGAACACAAATAGCAGATTTAGCTGAATTGTTCAAGGGAGTAAGGCCCAGGATCCATGAGTGAAATGCAGCCTCCAAGGTACACTACAGTGTTGCCACTTAACTTAAAACATAAGTTATCACATGTTTAAGTCACCAGACTACTGTATGCATTAAAGCTATGCTAATTATTGTTTTAAGAAAACAGTTTGAAGAAAGATCCATGTGAATTCTGAACACAAGATGTAAAGTTAAGCTATTTCAGTCTTGAGTGAAGTACAGCTGCTTTGTAATGTTAAGCCTTCAAATAGCACCTCTATTATTTAGGTCAAATGATTTTCATATTTGACTCTTACCAGACCTTTTCACCAATAATGCAGTCAGTTTATTGAAGTATATTTCAGCAACTGAAAAGCTTATTTCAAAAGCAGAAGACCACTATATCCAGTGTGAAAGTAAAAAATGTGGTATAAATATAAGCATATTGTGTATTACACATTATATATACTTCAGTTAACCATAGGATAATTAACTGAGTAGATGACTAGTTATCATGGGGTACAAAGTCTTTTTGTAAACAATACACACAGAGATTTTAAGGAAAGTCTGACCGCTGGAAAATGGTCTTCCTGGATTTCTTCTCTTTTAAAAGAAATCAATACTTATTAAAGATGATGTATGTAAGAATGCACTTTGTATTAAAACAAGGATCAATACTTTACAGTTTAAGAAACTTTACATATGTACATAAATTACACATCAGGAATGATTTTAAAGCTCAAAATGAGTCATCTAAAATTATTTCCCTTCAATTAAAACCTTTAACTCTTTCACATTATGGTCATTTGCAACTGCCACAGCATGGTCTAATGCTCGAATGCTTGCTAGAAGCTTTACTATCTGTTTTATGTGCTCCCTAAAAAAAAGGGGAGAAAAAGTAATGTTAATACACCTAGAGAACAACCTTGCACAAGTATTTTAGAAATATTTCAATATAGAATGTACTCAGCAAGTTAACCAGCTTGTAGAGTAATTTTTTTTTAATTTGGCTAATTGAAAACATTGTGTTTCTGGATATGAAAACAAAGTCTCTTTTGGGAATAGCAATTCTAAAAACAAAAAAGGAAGACAAGCTGCAAACTTCCTAGCTGTCGGGATGACTGAATGCTGGAATAAGTTGGCTAGGGAGGTTGTGAAGTCTCCATCTCTGGAGATATTTAAGAGCAGGTCAGATAGACATCTATCAGGGATGGTCTACTGGGTCCTGCTATGAGGTTAGGGGGCTAGACTCGACCTCTCGAGGTCCCTTCCAGTTCTGGTGTTCTATGACTCTATATATGGCTTATCTGGACACAGCAGTCTCAGGATGAACTAGTCACATGGGGTATTGTAGTGAGTTGCAGTTCCATTAAATAAACAATGTTTGAGCCAAAAATATAAAACTGAGCAGTTTTTGTGCATTCCTCAAGAAAGTTAAATACTGATATACATTTATAATAGATTGACCTAGACTGGATAATAACAACAGGTTCAAAGTAAACGCCTAGTAATCTAGGAGATAAAATTTTCCTACCAGGCTTGTAAAAATCCCACAAACTGAACAAGATGCAGACATGAAATTTAACTATCCAAAAGAAATTTTCACAATTATAGAATTCCAAAAATCTATCCTCCCTAGGACTACCAAATTGAACTATGCAGACATCTGCAACACTCAAGTGAAACTAACAAATGGGTTATGTTTTGTTTCCTCCTTTGCACAAATAATTTACGATAGTTTTTTCTTTGAAACAACGTACTAGTGTCATATTTTGTCACATACTATGGGATAGAAGAAACTAGACGAATAGCTATGGTGCAAACAGAAGGAAGAACATTATGTAATTTTGCAAGACAAAGCTAATATAGATCAGTGGCTAATTGCACAGCTGTTATCAGGAAATTTCAGGATTTATTATATACTTCCATATCCTTAGTTATCAGCACACAGCATAGAAGACTATATTAATTAGAACAGGAGTTTTCAGGAATTTTTGGCTCAATATTCATCCACAGTTCCAGTGAAAGCTTGCTAAACAAACAGCTAGCATAGAAAGAAAACATTATTTTATAAACTAGGAAAACTAATTTTGTACGGAAATCTCTCTCCTCACTTCCTCCACTTCACATCTTGTGGCACACGACTTACAGAATTTAAGTGTCTAACCCTATTTAAGCTTTTAAATACAGTGATTCTCATAAGCATGGTTAAACAATGTTATCTGATAATGAAAGGAACTTCTCCATTGGACTGTACTGGTATATTTAAGATAAATGCAAGAACACAATTTGAATTACAAAAATCTGTACTGCTGACAAGTGGTGGGAATCTGCATGGCAAACAGTTACCTGCAACATTAGCAAATTTGTAAAGAAACCAGCAAAATCAAACAAAAATCCCCAAATGCCACTTTAATTGATTAGAGCAGAACTACACAATCGGAGCAGTAACCTAACCTGTATACAATATACTAACCATTCCCAAAAGCCATCAATACCATATTAAAGAGCCCATTACACTTCCAGAAAAAAAAAAAAAGGAGGGGGAGGAAGAAGAGATCCTCCTTGATATAGATAAGATATATGGAGCTGTCTATTGGACAATGTATTGTGTTAGATATCGATATCGATATCTATATCTCAGTGCACAAGATGCTATTGCATTAAATGATTCAAAATAAATTACCTTGCATTTCTTTTTTCTACATCAGAGCATCCAATGCTGTTTCTGTAAATTGTATCAGCCAGATGAATAAGGTATCTACAGAAGTTCTCTAGCTGGGAAATAGTCTTATCCCCTTTTAGATTAGCAAACCACTGTTTAGGAAAGCAAGCAATTACCTAGAGATGATGGAAGACGAAAATGTGTTAACGGTCTGATACGTTTTAAAAAGTCAACAAAATCCCAGTTTTGCAATAAGGCCTATAAAAAGGTATACATTGCGAGGGCACTGTAACACCACCAATGTGAGAATTAAGATGCGAGCACTCCATACTAATCAATACCTTAAAGTTATCAACAATCCAGGACAGCAATAAGCAGAATTTTAATGTATATTTTATCTTAAAAAGTGGTCTGCTATAAAAGCATAGTAATTTTTGTTTGTCAAGCAATATGGGCAACAACACTAGAAATGTTAAGCTAAACAGTCTCATACTACAGCTTCAACTATATATTTTATTTGACTAGAAATTCAGGACTTAGAAAATATTCTACATAAAAACATCTTTTACATAATTTTGTTCCGTTTTACTTACACTTTGAGCTTTCTTAATGCTGTCCTCACCATATTCAGAATTCTGAAAAGCCATAAGGATATATCTATTTAGCAGACCATCTATCGATAATTCCTGTAGAGTTTTGTTTGAAAGGATTCCATACCACTGGAGAAAGTTTCCTAGTAACTAAAAACACCAGAGACAACAGAAGAATTAAATATTTGAAGGCAAAGCGTAAGCAACTATTGATAAACTAGGAAAAAATACTGGTTTAGAAGGCAAAAATAAATGTTTAAATGTACTGACTAGGATGAGGTAAAGAGAATAACTTTTTATAGTTCAGTTTAATGACTAAATAGAGCCAGTGAGATTCTTCCCAATGTTATAACACTGAATTTTTATGAAGACCATTACAGAAGATTCTATTCAATACAAAGGAACTACAAAAACAAATAAAAGTTTTTATAGCCAAAAAATTGTTCTTCCATATCTATTAAGTGTAGCCTAGCTCAGTTGTGCCTGAACTTTTCAGCCTGAGGGATGAACAAAATTAAAAAACAAAAACACAAATACTGCAGTACTCTAGGACAGACTCTGACCTACTCTTGCTCTTTGTATAACCTGCAAACCGTCCTGGCACAGGAAAAATCCTGTTATTGTATTGACAGCATGGGTAGTACCTATATTTGACTCTCAACATGAAGGCATGTGGTCAGGGGAGAGTGGCTAAGTGTTTATCGCCACTGGAATATGGGATATAAGGAACCACTGCCAACTAGTGAAAATTAAAGCATCTTGAATACCAGTGCTGAGGCAGAGAATAAGGGAGCTGTTGGTTCTCAGGTTCTCCTGGGTGGGGTTTAAGGAACAGTCATTTGACTGATCCTATTCTCTGGAGCACCCATAGCCGGGCAATAAAGCAAGCAATGGAGCAGTCAGGGCTACTGTCCTCTCTACCCTGCACTACAAGAGTAGCAGTTCAGAGCATTCCTAGTTCACACAAAAGCTCCAGCTTGGGCTTCAAAGAAAGTAGTGGAAGGCAATTTGGGAGGAAGCAACAGCAGGGATAATTCAGAACATTTCATTAAAAAAAAGTCACAGGAAGCAACATTTTAAATGAAATAAATACCATTTTTCTTAACAGCATAGCTGTTGAATTGTGCTTCTGTATGACATTTTATTTACATTTAAAAAATTATTTTGCATGTTTGCAAATTTTAACATAACCAAAAACTTCAGTCAACATAGCCTGTTGCTGTGGGGAGATAAATGGATGTAGAAGCATGTTTAGGAGTATTGGATGGTTTAAGCATTAGGTGTTTTGGAGCTATCTGTGTGGAAAGCTTTGCTGGGATATCTCGGGGAAAGCTCGTTAGGGTAGCTGTTAAGCTTGTGGTCAATACTAGGTCCCTCACCTTCTCTGCTGCCTCAACATACTGTCACTATGCTCCTCCCCTACTCTGATTAGGGATGTGAACAAGTAGTCAACTATCAAATAAGCAGGAACTTAATCACATCCCCACCCATTGCCTCCCTGCAATCTTAAAGGGACAGAAAGGAGCCAACATGCAAAGATGCTGGCTCAATCTCTGGTCCTCCACCAGGCCTAAGGACAACCCTCTCCCACGCTGCCACTTCTGGAAGGGACAGCTGGTCCCGTGGGTGTCTCAGCCCAAGCCCCCTCCCCCCCGCATTGCCATTCTGCATTTTTAAAGGGACAGAGCAGTGGCAGCTCATCCCATGGATCTCTCTCAGCACAAGCCCTCCCCCCTTATTCTCCTGTTGCTGCTCTGCACTCTTAAATTGAAACAGACCTGTGGGATGGTTGCCACGTCTCTGTCCCTTTAAGAATTCTGAGGGGAGTTGAAGTGGGGGACCAGAGACTGAGCCAGTGCCTTTGTGCACTGGGTCCTTTCTGTCCCATTAAGAATGCAGAGCAGCAATGGGAGAATTGGGGGGGCTTGTGCTGAGACCTGGAAGTGAGCCTTTCCCTAACTAGTCAAGTAGTCGATGAAAATTCCATCCACTACTTGACTAGCAAATTAATTGCTACTTAATATCCCTAACTCTGATCCAGCAGGGGCAGCAGTGAAGCCTGGCTGCCTGTGCAGTAGGTGCCATAGCAACTCCTGGAAACCTGTGGCAGTATGACAAGCCATTTGTACAGAAAGATTTCTCACAGGTTGCAGCAATAAGTGACAGGGTTGACAAACGGAAGTGTCATGCAAAACAGTCCTGCCTGACAATCTTAACAACAGAGCTTTTAAGCTCCTAGTCCACAGGCTGGACACTACTGGTCCCATGGTAGAGCACAGAAATGGAAAGGCCAGGAACTCAATATTCATCCAGACTCTCAGACTTTTATAGCTTTGTCAGGTCACAATCACTCTGCACCACTTTCTCTATCTGTAAAAAGACATTTTCCTACCACATCTAATAAAGTGAGAGAGTTATTGAGGAAAATTTCTCTCAAGATGTGGCTGAATTTACTTTAAAAAACCACCAAGATAGACTATCATGAAGACGTGACCAATTTTGATTTTTAAAAATCACTTTAATTTTAATGTTTGAGGACTGAGAGTCATGCCCAGTTTCCTCCCCTAAACACACAAAGGAAAGAAGAGTTCAAGGAAGGTATGTAGTACGTTGAAATAATTGTTACCAAAATGTTATGCATATGAACAGATTTTCAAACATATCCAGAAACTGGATAAACAATTCTGTTTCTCCCCAATTCAGTACCTACTACCCACACAACTGGAAAAGCCAAACCTTCTACTATTTGCAGAAATCTGTAAAGCTTGTCTTAAACTCCAATCTATACAGTCACTGCTTTGGTTCATATACTGAGCTCAAATATTTTTATTTCAAATGAAAGGGCAATCGAACATTGCCTCTAGTTTCAACAGTCTAAAAAGAGTGCCACTTTATGACTAGGTGTTTCTTGTAGCTCCTCTTTCCCGTAGCCTCAAGTAAACCAAAATTATAACTGTTCCAGAATTCTAGAATAAGCAGTGACTGAAAACTGAAAAGGGTAAATAAAAGGGTCACTTGTGCACAATGTGTTTGATGTTTCCTACTTTTTTTAAAGTTAAAAATAAACAAAATAGTTTGTCCTTAGTTCCAAACCAGGCCTTTCATTTCCGCTAGACCATATTTTTTTGACGGTGCACTTTTAGACTTTGTAAGATTTTCTTCTTCCCAGTTGGACTATCAAGACTGATTTGCTTTGTATGTGAAATAAATATTATTCATAAATTTAAAATAGCTGTCATTTACAAAGTGGTTGGTTCAAGCCGTCTCTACTCTGTGTAAGAAACAGTATTAAAATGGAGTAAGATTTTGTCAAAAGGTAATTTCCTTTAAACTTTACAGTACTTAAATTTTAAATTATGCTTCTTAAAACTGCAAACATCCATTAAATCTGTACTTGTATTTCCCACTCAAAATACTGAATACAGTTGTTTCATTAGTTGACAGATTTAATTTTTTCTAAATTTTCCCACAATCTCCCACATTCTCTCTAAAATATTTAACTATATTTTATTGTAGCAGTATCTGGCTTGAGGCCTCAGATATCTTTATTGGCTTACCTTAACAGAGGACCAAAACTGGCGCTGAAAAAACAAATAAGGACCAGAGTTCTTGTTTTCTAAGATGCTGGAAAACAAAAGATTTCTCTAAACTCATTTAATAAGTAACCCTAAAAATTTCAATCTTATTTTCATAAATGGAAGATAGACTACAGTAAAAATTGCAACGTTTTAAATATTTTGTCACCATTTTTACTTCATTACATTTACAGTATTGATTATTAAACTTTATTGCCATAACTCAAACCTATGAAACACCACCAATCAGTGAAAAAGCCTCAGCTACCATATGTAAAACAAGAGGAAACTAGAATTCAAGATATTTATTGTTGCTTTGCAAATTTAACAGCAACTTACTTTCTGGGATACAAGGGCATGAATACATCATCATCTAGTGTTCGTCTCATTCTTAGTAACAGTGCCTTCAAAAGTGTCTGAAAGAGTTAAGAGAAATATGCTAAAAATGTTTGCAGTTCTGCTTTGGTTGCTAGCTAAATTAAAGAACATTTTAGAAGTGTAAGCCCCTTTATATCACAGTATATATGTCGTATATACAGTATATAAATAAATGCTTTTGTTCAAGTATTCAAGTAATCCCACTGAAGTAAAATATTGGGAATATCCACAATTAAGTCAATCAAAATACTGAACTCCAGTTTAAAGGGAATTTAAATCCATGTGGCTATCCCTGTTCTTAACTTGAAACTTTAAACAAATTCTTAACCTTTTACAGGATCAGGGCCTTACAGTCAACTCTCCTATTATTAAGTTTGAATTCCTACCCCATTAACTACTACATTGCAAGAAACTTACACCACCACAAAATACCTAAGTTGTCAGAGACAAGTTTTTTTGTTGCATAAGACAAGGAAATTAATTGTGGCAATCTAGAGACCGTTTAAGCAATAAAATATGCGCTTTGATAACAAACAATGTTTCCAGCTGAACCTTAAAGTGAAATTATAGTCCTATAACCAAGTTTGATATGTTTTGCATTCTTATGTGCAAATCTTATTGTATATTTTACACAGACTCAAATGGCTTAGCTCGCTATCTGGTTTACCTCCCCGAGCTGCTCCAGTGGAGCTTATGTGGTACAGAATTGGTTAGCGGCACACCCATTAGTTGTAAGATACTTTGCCCTGATCCAACGTGTGTATTGTTTCTCACCAAGCTGAATAAATTCTATAGAACAGATTCCCTAAAAAGTACAATTTAGGAAAAAAAGTTACCTGTGTGTTTTTGTTTTCTGCATTTACCACTGAAGGATATCCATTTACTAGTTTCTGTGTAATTGCTACCATCCGAGATGTCTGTGTTGTAGAAAAAGGGTCCCATATACTTTCAGCAAGTACTATTAAAAATAAATAATAATTAACTACATAGTTCTACTTTTTGAGCACCCGCAAAGAGGTTTTAAAGTTAAATTACAAGAGTTGTTTTCTCCTGTATTTACTATGGTTTAATATTTGTAAAAGTTACAATACAGCATATTTAAGTTATACCTGTTAATTTAGGGAGAACAACTCTTTCCACAATAGTAGGTAATAGGGAAATATCAGCGTCATCCTTCTCTTGTTCCTGTTCTTCGCAGCCATAAAATAGCAATGATTCAAACCACAACATACTCTCAAAATCTTGACATTTGCCCTATTAAAATGAATAGGGCAGATATTAGTCCAATACACAATTACATATCGAGGTTAATAGTAGTTTTAAAGTGAGCCTGAACTACTTATTTAGCTATTCTAAATGATCAACATAATATACCTGAAAAGACCTACTTTTTTCTTTTATTAAAAAAAGAAAAATAGCTTTGGAATTATGTGCCAAATATCAAATACTCTAAAAGCGTTGGGCACATCAGCCATTAGACAAAGGGCCAGTTTAAGAGGTGTTTAGGCATCTAATGAGATTTTCAAAGGTGCCTAAGTGACATGGAATTCAATGCAGATTTTCTTCTATATTTCAAAATACTTTAGTTAAGCACAAAACATGTCCTATTAATTTTTGCAACTGATTGGACAGGACTGTGGATAAGCCACTCTGCCTTAATTTCCCCATGAACAAAGCTCCAGAAAGATGTATAGGCAAGATCTTGATTTGTAAAGTACTTAAAGATCCCGTGACATCAGAAGCTTAAACAGTGAAAACTATTTTGTTTTCTTATGCTCATGATATACTAATCACTGGCTACCCCTCTGTACAAAACCCTAGAATGGAATATGCTAATGATACCACACTAACTACAGAATGCTCATAAAAAAAGATCCACTTTATATAAATGTTGTTCTCTTCTACACCCATTTTGTAGAACATAGAACAAATGTGGTTAAACTTTCAAAAACAAAACTAAAGATTTTAAATTGTGGCTATCTGGCTAATCATGTAGTCAATACAAATTGTATCGACTACACGATTAGTTGATAAGAGCTGCTCTGCAGAGCCGCAGCGGGGTTAGGTTCAGGAGCTGGCTTGAGCCAGGACTGAGCAGTCCCAGCTCATGCCAGCTCTGGAAGCCACCAGTGCTTCAACTCTGCATTTTAAATGTAGTAAGAACTTCAGAGTTCTAACTACAGTAAAACCGGTGTTATCCAGCATACTCGGGAATTAGGGCATTCCAATTATCTAAAAATTCCGGTTATCTGAGGGTCCCATCAACCTAGGAAAAACCAATGGACAATAATAATAAAACTCAGGTTTTTAATATTGGTAGTTTTGTAGTATGAGGCAGTTGGTCTCACATCTATTTTGAGTTAAAGATGATTAGTACTCCTTAAATAAAAAATTGTTAAGCCAATCATGGTAAGCCAAACCAGGTCTGTGCACCTGAAGATGTGACAGTATTGTGGCTGGGGGGCAATGCCAGTTAAAGTTTTCTGGTTAACAGAGTGCTGGATAACACGTTTCACTGTACATTTAAAATGCAGAGGCAAAGCGTCCTGGACCAGTGCAATCTCGGAATCCAGTAGCCCTGTCCGGGGGACCCAGCTCCCTTCTGGGACCCCCATGGACAAGGGGTGTTGCTGGAGCAGCCTCCCCTATATATATCCCCCTGCTGCCTCTGTTAGAGGAAGCGGGAGTGTGGAGAGGGGCTAGCGGCACCACAGAGATGTTGCTGGGGGAAAACGGCTTTTAACCAAGCACCTCCCAACACCACCTTCTGTCTTCCCCCTCCCCCTTGCTGCCTCTCAGAGACAGCCGGGAGGGGGGGGAGGCGGGGGAGAAGAGGGGAAAGGAGAAGGAGGAATAGTTGATACAGCCAGTCCCTGAGTTGCGAATGGTCAACTTACGACTGTTTGCATTTACGACCAAAGCTGTTGTAAATGGCGGACCCTGAGTTACAAACGTGATCTGCGCTTATGAACAGCGCGGTCATGTGTAACTCTATGGGGTCTGACTTACGAACAAACTGAGTTACGACCAATTGCTTGGTCCATAACTGGTTCATAAGTCAGGGAGAGGCTGTACTCCACTCGACTACCTGATAAGCTAACATCCCTAACCAAAATGTTTCACATATCCACACACAATTCCTCTCCATATAGACAGATATTGGATATATCAGCTAACATTATCTATAACCTCTTATCCTCTTCCTGGTATCAATGTGTTTCTATATTCAACACAAGTGAAATGAATAGCCACACCACTATACATCATAAGTGGAAAGCCATCTGGGCTTTCTAACATACTTCTATGCTTACCTGGGAAATAAAATAGCTCATTTTATTCTGAATGTACACAACAGTAAACAAATGTAACCTGTTTTAAGACCGGTTTTCCATTAAAAGCTTTTGTTCTAAAATAAATACTTTATGAAAGCTATTTGGTTACTCGATACTGCTGTCATTTCTCCCAAAGGAAAGAGAACTAACTATTGGAGCTGAACTTAAGTTAGATCTGGGTGGTAACCACAGGGGACAGCATCCTGTAGCCCAGTCTGAGCATGAAAGAGTAAGATGATTTCATAAAATATGTTATATTATCATACCTCCTGTGAGCCCTATCTATTGAATAGGTCCACTTTGTGCTAGATGTGGTAGAAACACTTGCATTGGGAACAAAAGCATGGTCCCTGCCCTAAAGAGCTTACATCCTTAGGAATCTTGAGACCCAAGACCAGAGCGTAGAACACTCAAAAAGACCAGACGGGTAATTTACCTTCATTTTTTGGGGGAAAAAGTGACACTCTACTGCACAATGGCTCATTTAATTTGAGTAACTGTATCTTACCTCCAAAGGTGTCCAGGTAAGGAGCTGAAGTCTTATTAAAGGATTAAACAGCTTTGGTAAACAGAGGCCAATGTAAGCATCCTTATAAGAGGAGAAATATTTGGAACGCCAGGCTTCAAACTGTGATTTAATGCAGTCAATTGAGTAGAAACTTTCTAGTACATCTTCAAAAACTTTGCTGGACTCCTTCAAAATACGATCTAGGTGAAAAAAGTTTAGAGAACTAGGTAACAAGAGCTCCCATTAGGTGGTTTAACCAATCTAATTACAGGACTTTCAGTTTGAAACAGGTTTTTTTTGGGGGGAAAAAAAGCAGATTTCAAGTTTCTGCTTCTCTTGTCCCTCCCATGCACTGCAACACAGTGTGTGGGTGCTGTAAGTACCTATTTGGTATATGGCTGTATCATGCAAATATGTTTACACTAAGATCCAGTAAGCTTTTGTAGCACTACTAGTTTTCTTTCAGTAGTATCCAGAATTGGGACTGCATAATGATAGCAATATGGGTTAAAAGAAGAGCTATGCGCCATGTTCCAAGTGTGATGGAGCATCCTAAACACTAGCTAGTCAAATATATGGTGCTGCACTTTGTATCTTTTACACTGGACTCCCACAACAGTTACCTATACATATTAAAGTGTCCCAGATATCTTTAGAAGACATTATATGGGCCTTATTTGTGTATCTTACAGTCCAACACAAATATATTGTGCGCACAATATGATTATATACTATACATCTAATAGATATTGAGGCAGGCATATTGTCTGTTTCTAAATCTCATATATGCACAAAATGAACAGTGGATGGATTGCCCAAATCCATACAAACTTTAAAATTTACTTTTTGCCAATGCATAATACAACAGACACTACACAGACTCACAAAGAAAACAGAGCACTGATTTTGTGCAAAACTGTATGGTGACTTGACGCTGTAGATATGTTGTCACACTTTACTATGCAAGTCTGTTCAGCTAGAAGGGGAGGAAGGGTAATTCCTCTATTTTAGCTAAAGTATCTCCATAGAAGTAAATTGAGTTGTACATGATTTTAGAACAGGTCTGTTAATCTTGGTTTTAAGAGCTGATATGGTGCCCAGGAAACTCCAAATTTTTATTAAATGCTTTTTAAAAAAATACAAATTCAAGTCAATGTTACAATTCTATTTTGTCATTCTGAGTGTAGAAAAAATTCATATAGTAGAACGAGCATTTTTCCTAGGATGTCTATGTTCAATTACATAAGCAAGTGACTTTTCTAACCTCGTTCCATGTTGAAGTTAGTGATATCTGTTGAAGTTTCTTCATCATCACTAGAAAGGCCTTCAAAGTGATCTGCCATCTTCCCAGTTTGTTCTCTTGCTTGCCTACGGCGGGTTCTATAAGGCAGCAATACAATTACAGTTATAAGCCATAAGATCGTTGTTCAAATGAACAACCATTTTAGCCATGCTAGTCCTACTCCTGACCCTAGCAGAGCCAAAGTAAAGATAGTCTCTCCATCGCTCACCATGGTAGCTAGGGGAAAACCAGTAAGGACGGCAGCAAGACTGGAGCGCCTCAGGCATTTTCAGTTAACTTATCAAGCACCATCTAACTGACTGTTTCCACATTTCTTTGAGGATATCCTTGGCTAGTACATGGGCGGAGGCATCAGGTGCCCAGACAGAGGGATTAGGAGGAAAGGGGAAGTTTTGGTGGGAGCAAACTATAACAAAATATGCACTTTTGTCATTTAACAAACTCTCTCTTCACTACTACACAAAGCAAATAGTCTCTTAAGCTGTACAAGTGGGGACAGTGTTTTCCTATATCTCATATCACAGAGATTTCCATGATACTGTATGGAGCCTAGCCCAATACATCAGTCGAGCAATCTCAGTATTGTACCTTCTAGCCTCCCTTTCTGCAGTCCGCCGTTTTACATGCTCTTGATAGAGTGCTCTGTCTCGTCCAAAAGAATCAAGATTTGGTGCCATCAGTGCTTTACCTGCAAGATTATATTGACTGCAATTAAAAGGTTTTCATCTACAACAGGAATATTGTGTTGTCCAGTTGTATTTTGAAACAGCTGAAAACAGACAAACTCAGATGTTTGAATGTGTAGCTACTAAAGGCAGAGAGAAGTAGTGATGGAAGTTGGAATCTCAAATTGAAGATACTCCACATTTATTCCAATACAAAACGGGCTTCACCACACTTCAATCTTCCCACACTCAATGGCCTAAAGCAGCAAATATTTAAACTTCTTGGTACAACAAAAATGGAAAAACTTTACTGCTGCTATAAATATAGCACTTGGCATGCAACATTAAAAAAACCCATGAGAAGAGAAGAGGAAGAGGGTAGAGAAAAGCAACCCTGTAGCAAAGATTCTGTAGTCCAGAATCTTATTCATCTAGTCTTACTCCTTGAAATAAAATTGGGTTCAGTAAATTATTTGGCGTTTCAGATACATATAAAAACCTACTAGGAAATAAAGCCTACTTTTTTTTAAAAAATAGCAAATTTAATGACAGATCAGGCTGATTAAAAACAGAATTAAATGTAGCTAATCAGTGAAGCCAATGATAAGCCACCAACTGAAATTAACACAAAAAAGTCTCCAGCTTGTCTAACTTTTGAGATAAATTCTCACAAGTATTACCTGAAACCAGATCTATCCACTACAAGATGAACATCATGAGATTTCAACAATAGTCTCAAACTACATAAAAAAACCTGGTTACCAAATTCATAATTTAAGAAAGTTAATGATTTGTCTTGGTGCTCCTATTAAGAATGGGTAAATCCTTTCAGAAAACAAGAGCTTTAGAGCATGGGTGAAGTTGTCATATGCTTGATTTGTTACATCTGTCACAACTGTTACAGATTATAACAAAAGAGTGAAGTTACCATTTGGAGAACCTGGTTAGTCCATCCCAAATATAACAACATTTTAGTTTAAGTAGTAAAAGAGAGCTGCTTATTGAGTTGATGTGTTTGTGGACCTCTGATTGAAAAACTGACACCTGTTACCAATCTTAGTGCAGAGAAGAAAAGGACCAAAAAAATTTAAGGAGCCTGGGCTTATCAGTTAATCTGGTTGCCTATATTCACTCCCTTCCCCCCCTTGCTTATACTGCATCAGAGGCGGGGGAAGAGGGGAGGAAGCAGGAGCCAATGCCCTCAAAGAGCTAATTTAAAAGCTGGCTCCCCCACGAGCACTGGATTTGCCTTGTCCCTCCCCTCCCTCCCCCCCTCCCCCCAAAAATTTAAGGAGCCTGGGCTTATCAGTTAATCTGGTTGCCTATATTCACTCCCTTCCCCCCCTTGCTTATACTGCATCAGAGGCGGGGGAAGAGGGGAGGAAGCAGGAGCCAATGCCCTCAAAGAGCTAATTTAAAAGCTGGCTCCCCCACGAGCACTGGATTTGCCTTGTCCCTCCCCTCCCTCCCCCCCTCCCCCCGCACTACTGCCTCTGATAGAGGCAGCAGCACAGAAGGTGAGGGGGGCAGGCAGGAGCTGGCTTTCAAGAAGGCTCCCCTCCCCCCCCCATGTGTGCTGGCTCCACAGAAAAGGACCAAAAAAATTTAAGGAGCCTGGGCTTATCAGTTAATCTGGTTGCCTATATTCACTCCCTTCCCCCCCTTGCTTATACTGCATCAGAGGCGGGGGGAGAGGGGAGGAAGCAGGAGCCAATGGCCTCAAAGAGCTAATTTAAAAGCTGGCTCCCCCACGAGCACTGGATTTGCCTTGTGCCTCCCCTCCCTCCCCCCCTCCCCCCGCACTACTGCCTCTGATAGAGGCAGCAGCACAGAAGGTGAGGGGGGCAGGCAGGAGCTGGCTTTCAAGAAGGCTCCCCGCACCCCCCCATGTGTGCTGGCTCCACAGTGCCAAATTCCCTCCACCTGCACTGCTGTCTTAATGAGAGCCAACAGCATGGGAGGTGGGGGGAAGCTGCCATGAAGCAGCCTCCGTCTGCGGCAGCCCAGGCTCACTGCTGACAGGCTGCTCCATGGCAGCAGTCCGTCTGCAGGGGATCTGAGCTCCCCGTGAACAGAGACTGCTCTGTCATCCCACAGAGCAACCTCTTTTCATGACAAGCCAGTCCTTGTCTGCAGGGAGCTCAGACCACCCGTGAACTGGAGCTGCGGCCACCCCATGCCACTGCCTCTGTATCACAGAGTAGCATGTGGGAGCCAGTCTGCGCAGGAAGCCAGTTTTTAAATTGGCTCCCTTTGCGGACCAGCTCCTGCCTGCCACCCCGCAATGCTGCCTCTGATACAGAGGAAACAGCTTGGGGTGGCAGGGGCCTCCCCAGGAAGAGGACCAGGACTGCACTGGCTGCTGGCCCTACCTCTGGGGACTATGGAATAGTCATGTAATCGCTAAAATTTCCTGTGGTTACATGACTAATTACATGCTATCTAACATCCCTAGCTTCAGATAAGGCTTCCCCTTTAAGCCCCATCAATTTGATGGCATCCAGACTCTTCCCATACCCCAAAAAAATCACATTCTAATCCAGTGGTGGGCCACCAGCTGCCCACAAGCCACATGTGGCCCATCAGGATTCCATGTGTGGCCCGTGCACCCCTTCTCTGCCCCATTTTCCCAACACATCTCTTCTGTACTGGAGATTTCAAACTTACCTATTCCTCCCTCTCAGCACTTCCAAAGTGCCATGAACTGGCTGATTTGCATCCCATCCTGCTCTTTCCCCTTCCTTCAGAACTTGAACTTGCAAATCAATCAATTAGTGCTCAGAAGCGCTGGGGAGAGGAAGGAGCAGGGATGGGTCACAATTGGGAGAGAAGCAGGGAAGAAGCCAGGCAGGGATTTGATATTGTAAAATAACTGCAAATGTTTCTTTTTTATTATTTGAAGTTGATGACAGTTCCATTAATATCTGTATTAAAGCATTTCTATTTTTGAAATCATCATGCCATGTATTATTGTACTTAATCTTATTTTGGGGTCATGGTTAGCAGATAGTGGGATGCAAGACTGAAATCAGTTGAGATGGAGGGCCACTCATTAGCTTTGGTTGCCCTTTGCTATACTAATCCAACATGCCCCTTTCTAGGCTCCCTAATGATTTGCTCAGAGCATACTTGGCATATCACAAGCCTTGAAGCAACAAAGAGGGCCATCACAAGGCCTACACTCATCTAAAGTGAAAGCTTATACATGCCCTTTGTGATATGGATAATTTTACCTTTCTAGTGTATAAGGTTGTGTGCACATGCTGAGGGCAATGAATTTTCAATGGAAAAATCTCCGTAAAAGCAAGAAAACAGATCTACCAGTTTCAGGAAAAACATTTGAGTAAAATTTTACTCCGTCTCATTAGTACACAGAATACAATCTTTCCAAAGAAATGGTAGATAAAATGAGTATCTGTGCTTTTAGCAGAACTTATTTTATATAAATAACAGTGATCAGAAAGGAGATACTGATCATTTTTTAAAACTTCATTTCCACTTCTGGAGCACTGGTCTCAAAAGGAGGCTTTCTACTCTGTGTGAGGTATTTGTGATATCATGAAGTTAGTAGCCAAATGTTACAATTTAAAGAAAATAACTATCTTCCTTTGCTTTGAAATGCTTTTTCTTTTTCAAGTGTCTGAAATTTACACTGTTGAAACTGAACACTTATTGTTAACAGAATAAACTACAAAATCTTCAATTTATCAACAATTTAAAAATCCTGTTTGGAAATCAATGGTAGATATATCATGAATTTTATATCTAAATTAATTTAAGTAGGTAAAAAGAGAGCCTGATATAAGGAAAAAGTTTCATGACAAACATCACTACTCTTAAATATACTGAATATTTGAAAAGAGAGAAACAAACAGATTGTTAAGACTAGCAGATAGAAGAGATGAAGTCTCAAGAGTTAGAATGACTCAGTATTTTAACAAAAACATCAGAATACTTTAAATCTGAATTTGCTTCTACTTATAAAAGTTAAGTCAACTATGCTCTGCTGTATTTAAATTAAACCATACTAAATAAACAAGGTTGTTTAATGAATAATAAAAACCTTCAAGATGGACTGACTTGAATGGCTTGAAAACTCCGAAGATTCATCTTTAATATCATCTTGTCGTCTTTGGACAAGGCGGGAAGCTCGCTGTTTGTACAGCTGATGTATTGCTGACTCGAGTTCGTTAATCAGGGGCACCTGTAAAAATATAACACACTACGTAATATCAAACTCTTCAGGTGCTCAATTGTCTGGGGTGCCATACTATTCCAAGATGCAACGTAGGCTGTTGTGCTTTTTAGACAGTCGTTTTCTTTTACCAGCTGATAGCTTTGGAGCCAATACAAGCATTCAACAGTTTATAATAATTGCTTTAAGTTATAATACAAAAGTTGTACAAGTAGTTTTCATTGACAAAGCAGCAGTGTGAAAAGCCTGAATAAGTTAACTGCTGATTTAAAGAGATGCAGAACTAAGGTATAAATAAATGCCACAAAAGTATTCTGTGGACTTGTCTTCAGCATATGTACTTTTAAGCAGTGTTTTGTGTTTATGTTTACAATTAACAGAATTAATTTTTACAACAGCAGATATTAGATGCTGAATGAATGTTAACTGAGAAAGTCCGCTAATGAGTAATGACAATAAGCAGTGCTGAAACAAATACACTGAATGTACTCAACCAATGCTAATGATCAATATTAGTGCACTTTATCACTGCTGAATTTTATCATTGAAACATCAGTCACACAGTATAGCATATTGCAACTGATGTTCCAATCCTGAAAAAATGTACTCATCAGCATAATCTTCATTTGACTAGTCATGTGAGGAAAGCTATGCACTTAGGTAAACCTTTGCAGGACTGGAGTCTAAGTCAGTGACAATCTGCTACTCACTTAAAAAAAATGATACTTTAGAATTTAGTTTATGTTACAGTAATTAGAATTTACTGTGTTGGGCTTCAGCCTCATTTTATGTTGGACGACCCTAGTTCCAAAGAATTAAAAAAAACTGTACACATTTTCATTTAATACAACAGACAGAAATTCTCAGCATGTTTGGAAGGACACATCCTGTAATTTATTCATATCTGGTACTAATAAACTTATCTGAAGTATCAGATATGTCTAATCCAAAAACTTTCAGCTCTTTAAATCAAGAATTTTATTGCTACCTAAAATCCAAGTGTTTTTTTGTTTGTTTGTTTTAATGAAGAAAGACTTCAGAAAAATGTTTTCTGAATTAAACTAGAACTGAAGTCAGTGTTTGGAAAACAACTGCAACAAAGCAGAACACTAAAGCTGAAATGACCACTGATGGTACCCAAAGGCACCAAAGGTGTCAAGTTTTCCTGGGCAACAAGGGAAAAGAGAAAAATGTCATCTCTTTACATTAGCTTCCTTGGACTGAGAACATCAGAACCGAAAACTCAAGAACAGCTTGTTGAACTAATTAAAAATGGATACAAAAAAGTTTAAATATTTTCTAAATTAAAAAAAAATTAAATCTCAGATTTACAAGACTCCTTTTAAAAAATGGATGCACTCAAATACTAATGTTAATTGAAGAGTGAAACATATTTTATCTTTATTATGGTTTGTGTTCATAAAGAGAGTATCTCCTTCCTGTGAACAGTTTATTCTACAAATTTTAAGTGAACAGTTAAAAACATGTTTGTAATTTCCCCCAGAAGTTTCTCCAATCAGTTTCTGAATATTTAAAAAAAAAGTGAACTTATGCACAAGTGTTTGAACACATTCAAAATAGATTACTTCTTCAAATTTAGGAGTTCACAATTTTGTAGCTGGTGAGTGAGCTTGATAGCTCACATTATCTACTACACTGTTATAGGCATTTTAAAATTCATATATATTTAATCCTTTAATCCATTAATATTTGGTTGTTACAATCTTTTCTCAAAAAATACTGGAAACAAGACAATATGCAGAGGGTTTATGAACAATATCTCATTCTATTTGCATCAGGTTTTTATCTACAATTATTTCCAAAGTGTGCTCTGGTGATCTCTCTATACTACGATTATTAGGATTACAAAAACAATTTAATTAGCTCTACAACTGAAGACCAGTCTCACCCTCACACATCAATACAATAAGAGCAAAATATGATGGCCAATATCTTTATCTTTTAAGAGCCAAAAACAGTGTTGCGTAAGTTGAGGTAGCATGGCTGAAAACCATTCCTTACTTTATGACTAACATCTCAGAATCAAAGCACCATGAAGGCAATAACCTTAGAATAAGGGATCACCTAGCTCCTGCAAGAAGTGATTGCACCAAATCAGCACGTGGTACTCATAAATCCAATTTAGTAAATTAAAATCCCACTGACAACACAGTCACCCAGTCAGTCTGGGGCACTCTATTGTGGGAACTGCCATCACTTGGATAAGATTTAAAGTCAGGATTCTGATAAACTGATCGTTCGATATCCTATAGCACTGTGCTGCACATAATGCAACAGGAGTTTAACCTGAACTGATGTTTAGCCAGGACGAAGAACTGTTACATTCTGCCTAAAATACCCACTGCATTTAAAACCAAAATAGCATTAAGATATGATTCTGCACACTGCACACTTTCGGATGTGTGAGCACTAGTCAAAGTAGTTTCGGCAAAAATCAACGGAATTATCCATGGAAGACAACGCACGATTTAGCCCTTAACACTGACTTAACCAAGATCTGAAACTCAAAAAAATCCTGCAAAAAGCATTAACTAGGTCAAATTACAAAGGATTTATATAAATAAATATGTAGGGGCAAAATCAGACAGGCCCAGGCATAGACATGAGATTAAAACTAGCTATAGACATAAATGGCAATAAAAAAAAAATCTACAAATATAAAGACCCAAAGACATGGTAGGCCCATTAGTCACTGGGGGAAACAACAGAGAATGTGGAAATGGCAGAAGTGCTAAATGATTTTTTTTGTTTCAAGTTTTCACTGAAAAGGTCAATAGCAATTGGATGTCTAAGACTTATAGGAATGGAAAGGACCTAGAAAATTAAATCCATCCTCTGCACTCATAGCAGGGCCAAACACCATCTAGGTGCTTGTCTACATAGTGAATGTCAGTGAAAATGAAGTAGGAGCAGAGAGAAACAGGGAAATAATAAGTTAAAAATTAGACAAGCTAGATGTCCTCAAGGTATTAGGGCCTAATGAAATACACACCCTAGAATGATCAAGCAGCTAAGGAAATACCTGAACCATTAGCAATTATCTCTTAAAAGTTACTGAAGACCAGAGAAATGCAGAAAATGCACTAGGCAACGCAGTATGGGAAGGAGGTGGACAGCCCTTGGTGGGGAAAAAACAAGTTAGGAACTATTTAGAAAAGCTAAACATTCACAAATCCATGGGCCCGGATTTAATGCATCCAAGGGTACTGAGGGAGTTGGCAAATGTAATTGCGGAGCCTTTGACTATTATCTTTGAAAACTCATGGGGATCGGGAGAGATACCGGATGACTGGAAAAAGGTAAATGTAGTGCCCATCTTTAAAAAAGGGAAGAAGGACAATCCAGGAAACAACAGTCAGCCTTACCTCAGTCCCCGGAAAATCATGGAGGGGATCCTCAAGCAATCCATTTTGTAGCACTTGGAAGAGGGGAAGTGATCAGGAATAGTCAACAGATTCACAAAGGGCAAGTCGTGCCTGACCAATCTGATTAGCTTCTATAATGAGGTAACTGGCTCTGTGAATATGGGAAAGTCAGCACATGTGATATACCTTGACTTTCGCAAAGCTTTTGATAGCGTCTCCCACAATATTCTTGCCAGCAAGTTAAGGAAGTATGGACTGGATAAATGGACTGCAAGATGGATAGAAAGCTGGCTAGATTGTCAAGACGTTGATCACTACCAATGGGTAGTGATCAACAGCTCGACATCAGGTTGGCGGTCAGTTTCTAGTGGAGTGCCCCACAGATCGGTTCTTGGACCGGTTTTGTTCAACATCTTTATTAATGAACTGGATGAGGAGATAGATTACACCCTCAGCAAGTCTGCAGATGGCACTGAGCTAGGGGGAGAGGTAGATATGCTGGAGGGCAGGGATAGGGTCCAGAGTGACCTGGACAGATTAGAGGATTGGGCCAAAAGAAATCTGAGGAGGTTCAACAAGGACAAGTGCAGAGTCCTGTATGTGGGACAGAAGAATCTCAAGCATAGTTACAGACTGGGGACTGAATGGCTAAGTAGCAGTTCGGCTGAAAAGGACCTGGGGATTACAGTGGATGAGAAGCTGATATGAGTCAACAGTGTGCCCTTATAGCCAAGAAGGCTAATGGTATATTAGGGTGCATTAGGAGGAGCATTGCCAGCAGATCCAGAGAAGTGATTATTCCCCTTTATTCAGCTCTGATGAGGCCACATCTGGAATACTGTGTCAAGTTCTGGGCCCCCCCCAATATAGAAAGGATGTGGACGCATTGGAGAGGGTCCAGCAGAGGGCAACCAAAATGTTTAGTTACTAGGGAGGTGGTGCAATCTCCATCCCTAGAGGTACTTAAGTCTCAGCTTGACAACACCCTGGCTGGGTTGATTTAGTTGGGATTGGTCCTGCCTTGGGCAGGGGGCTGCACTTGATGACCTCCTGAGGTCTCTTCCAGCTCTACGAGTCCATGATTCTAAAACTGGAACAGGGCATATACAGTACACTAAACTATAAAAGGGAAATAAGGAAAACCTGGGAATTACGGACCAATCAGTTCAATTTCAATACTGGAAAGATAATGGAGCAAATAATGAGAGATAAGATAAGGTGATAAAGTAACAGTCAACATGGATGTGTCAATAAATTCATGTCAATCCAGCTTCATACTTTTTTTTGACAGGTTAACAAAGCCATGTGGATAGAACAGAAACTGTATACATGGTATATCTTGAACTTAGTAAAGCTTTTGGTATGTTCCTCCATGACCTTCTCATAAACAAGGTAGGGAAACACAAGCTACTATAAGGCGGGTATAGTCAAAGGAAAGGCGCCCAGACTGAGACAGATGCCTCCTGAAGGTGAATGTCTGACTGCAAAGATGGTGTCACCAGAAGGGATTTGGCTTCATTAACTGTGGGACGCTGTTCCAGGAAGGACTGCTAAGCAGAGATGGAGTCCACCTATCGAGGAAAAGAGTATTTGGACAGACTGGCTAACCTAGTGGAAGGCTTT